AGGTTAAGGTTTGTGGGTAGTTTCCGGATTTTGGAGGTGCAGAGTCTTTTGCAGATTTAGGTTAATATAGGGAGCTAGAAGTTGGATGAGGGACTTATTCTTTTGAGCTTTATCAGGGAAATTGGTTGAACTTTAAGCTAAACCGGCTGATGCTGCCGGGATAACTCCGGGTTGAATTGTGAGGTCCCCGGCCTCCCACACTACGTGTGATCTGGAAGATACAAAAAAAAAAAAAAAAAAAAAAAAAAGAATTACGTGCCTTCATGCCCCGAAAACAACGTACGGTCATAATAGCTGTATTTGGGGGATATCTTTCAGTCTAAGGACAGCTATAATGACGGTACCTTGCAGTCGGGGGAAGAAGGTAGGGCCGGTCAGTTGAATGATGATATCTAAAGGCCGTCGAGAGAAACACGATGAAGTTTCGAGAAAACTTGCACACAATTAGGTTCTTGTTGCACTACCCACCACCGGCCAAGATTCTGAATGCATCAAGACATAGCTCTGCCCAGATGCACTAAAAATGTTGACGAATGGAGAGCAGTGCAACTAGCCCCCCCTCAGGCGGTACAGGAGCGCCTCGTGGGTCAAGCCTACAGGTGGGCCGATGCATAGCAGGTCTTGTAGAGATATGAACATGCGCGATGCATCTAGACATCGAGTTGCAACAGATGCATTTCCATTGATGCAAGGATTTGCATGCATTGGGACCAATAACAGATCCATATGCATTTCGAATGATGTGCAGTGGAGCTAAGCCCTAAGTACACAGGACGGATTGACATAATTGAAAGGACGCATATTATAGTTAGTATCAGATCTGGCGCCTCGGCGCCCCGCCGTCCTATTCTTCCTGCAGGCTTTTTTTTTTTTTTTTTTTTTTTTGGGACCTGCAGGCCTTACACTTCAACGGTCAGTCAGAGACTCAGAGAGCCTTCATCCCTACAGAATCGTACAGATTGAATCTTGCATTAAAAAAAATCAGGCCATACCTTTGTCGGCCTTTTGGCTACATCAAGTGCAGTGTATCTGTTCTCATCAGTGGTTCATCTGGCCCAACATAAATAAATAAATAAAAATAAATAAATCATGCCCCTGAAACAATCAGAGCTGCAGGCAGTGGGCCAATCTATTATTTTTTCATTTTAATGACTGTCCCAAGGGAAAACATATTCGTTCTATCTATCGATCGTCACAAGAATGTATATATATATATATATATATATATATATATACATCTATATATATATATATATATATATATAGTCCTCTTTTCTCTCTCTGCCTACGGTTTACCGGGCAGTTCTGTTTGTGACGATATATATATATATATAGATGTATATATAAACAGTTTGTCACAGCCCCTCGTTTGTTGTCCTCTTCTCTCTCTCTGCCTACGGTTTACCGGGCAGTTCTGTTTGTGACGAGATATATATATATATATATATATATATATCGTCACAAACAGATATATATATCAAAGAACATAGTCCTTCAGCAACAGGGGAACGGTCCAACAGAGAGTAGACAGAAGTGAGTAGAGAGAAGAGAGAATAGATCAGAGAGAAGAGAGAAGAGAGAAAAGAGAATAGATCAGAGAGACGAGAGAAAAGAGAATAGATCAGAGAGAAAACTGAAGGGCATTCCCCTATCCCATGAAATAATAAACCAGCCAATGCAGCCATATAAGAGTTCCTCTCTCTCTCTCTCTCTCTCTCTCTCTCTCTCTCTCTCTCTCTCTCTCGCTCGCTCGCTCGCTCGCTCGATCGATTTACACAGTCCCGTGTGCATGTACAAGTCTTAGAGGGCATAGTAACTACCGCACCAACGGGGCACAGCTGTAGGTCTTTTGTTTTCTTCTTTTCTTCTTTTGTGACAGCTGTAGGGGTCCGGGGTCCCCTGTACTGCTGACTGTGAATCGTTTTCACTTTTGAAAAAGATAAAAGAAAACGCATCGGGATGTCCACCCACCGTCAGCCTCGGGGGCATCCCCTGGGCGGTGAATCCAGTCGACGTGTGCATGATTAGAGAGAGGACTGGAGGTTCCAGTCCAATCATGAAGAGCAGGCTGAGCTTGGGAACAGGCGGAGCGCGCTTTCCAACTTTTTTTTTTTTTTTTTTTTTTTTTTGGACCATTTCTCGATTTATGCGTCGTGTCATCCTTGAGTGCGCAGGGGCCATGCTAATCTTCTCTCTCTCTGTATCGGTCCAATTTTAACGGATGCCCCGAAAGGACGCTGTCGAACATTTTCACACCGCATAAGAGTCGTTGACGGAGGAAGGAGGAACGCAGCATGTGTCATTTTGCCCTGTGTCAAACCATGGGTACGTTTCCCAGCCATTTTGCAGAAACACCCCTGACACAGGCTGACAGTCTGCATGTTGGCCCCTCGAGGGAGGGATGCACGCGGGTGCTCGACGCTCGTTGGCCGGAAATCCATCGACTCGGAGGCGAAACGGCTGTTGCATGGGAAGGCTTTTTTTTTTTTTTTTT